CTTGCCTAGTGAAAGAGACTTCTTGCGGAAACTTTGTAGTATATAAGACCTTAGGTAGAACCCTAACCCCCATCCAGAACCTCCCGAGATGGGACATACCCACTTGAAAGGCCAAGCAGACCTGCCTGGAACAGCTAGAGGAACAGAAGATACTTCTTGAAAGAAAGACCAGCAGGAAAAAATCAAAAACAAAAATGGCAGTGTGCCTGGCTACTACAAGAACAAGCAAGTTGTTCACTGGAGAGCCATCAAGGCAAGCAATCAAGTCCCTTCAGGACAAACCACCTTCCAAGACTGAAATTCCAAGGGAATATAAGAGTAGGCATGTAAGCTTGCAAGCGACCATGTTGGTCTACTGGTGAGTGGAAGTTGGGGAAAAGCAGAAATGAAGATATGGGTTGAGTTTAACCACACTCCATAGACTTCCATTGACCTGGAGATGAGAAAGGGAAGGACTTGTTGGTCCGAAGTATGGTGAGACCTGGGGACTCCTAGGCCCATGAACAAGAACATAGCCATGGGCCTAGCTAGAGCTGAGAGTGAAGCATCTAGCTGATATGAAGTGATGGGAGACACACAAGAATGCTCAAACTTGCAGGCAGTACCCATTTGACCTAGCTTCGACGGCTTGATGATCAGAACACGACTGTTGTTACTGTAGATGTTTTTAAGTTCCATCGAGTCAGTTCCGACCCATAGCAACCTTGTATAAGGTTTCTGAAAGCAGCTGGTGAGCTTGAACCACCAACCTTGCAGTTCAAATGGCTTTGCAGTCTGGTGCATTAACCCACAGTGCCATACCAGGACTCCTCTGGTCATGTTCATGTCAGAACATGATTGTTGTTGTTGTTAAGAGCTGTCAAGTCAATTCCGACCCATAGCGACCCTGTATAGGGTTTCCAAGGAGCAGCTGGTGAGCCTGAACCACCGACCTTGCAGTTCAAACGACTTTGCAGTCTGACACAGTAGCCCACAGCGCAACACCAGGACTCCAGAATATGATTAGAGGAAGATTAAAAAAAATTTTTTTTGACAAAGGAAACAAGTGTAATTGCTACAATTTGATGAACTTGACCTATTCTTATGGATGTAGTAGCTCAAAAGACTAACTGAGAGGAAGGGAATCTTCACATCAAAGATCATTCCCATCCTCTCTATACACAGGGTTGATAGGGATGGACAACTTAGACATTGGCTACCTAAAATGGGGGACTTTCAGAGGTTCAAGCCAGATTCAGAAGAGGACGTGGAACAAGGGATATCGTTACTGGTATCCAATGGATCTTGGCTGAAAGTAGGAAATACCAGAAAGATGTTTACCTGTGCTTTATTGACTATGCAAAGGCTTTAGGCTGTGTGGATCATGACAAGCTATGGACAACATTTCGAAGTATGAGTATTCTGGAACACTTAATTGTGCTCATGAGGAATCTGTACCTGGACCAAGAAGCAGTTCAAACAGAACATGGGAACACTGAATGGTTTAAAATTAAGAAAGGTGTGCGAAGGGTTGTATTCTTTCACCATATTTATTCAACCTGTATGCTGAACAAATAATCCGAGAACTGGGTTGTATGAAGAAAAACGTGGTATCAGGATTGGAAGAAGACTCATTAACAACCTGCGATATGCAGATGATACAACCTTGCTTCCTGAAAGTGAAGAGGACTTACAATATTTACTGATGACGCTCAAAGAGCACAGCCTTATGTATGGATTACAATTCAATGTAAAGAAAACAAAAATCCTCACCACTGAGGTTTGTCAAGGACTTTATTCTTCTTGGATCAACTATCAACACTCATGGAAGCAGCAGTCAAGAAATCAAACAGTGTATTGCACTAGGTAATTCTGCTGCACAAGACCTTTTTAAAGTGTTGAAGAGCAAATATGTCAGACTGAGGATTAAGGTATGTCTGACCCAAGCCATGGTATTTTAAATAACCTCATATGAATGTGAAAGCTGGAAAGTGAAGAAGGCAGACTGTAGAAGAATTGATAATTTTGAATTATGGTGTTGGAGGAGAATATTGAAAGTGCCATGGGCTGCCAAAAGAACCAACAGATCTGTGTTGGAAGAAATGTAGCCAGAGGGCTCCTTGGAGGCCAGGATGGTCAAACTTTGTCTCTCATACGTCAGGCATATAGGCAGGAGGAACCAGTCACTGCAGAAGGATATCATGTTTGGTAAGGTGGAGAGTCAGAGAAAAAGATAAAGACCCCAGCAAGATGGATTGGCAAAGTGACAGCATCAATGGGCTCACATGTGGCAACAATTGTGAGGTTGGCCTAGGACCAGGTAGTATTTCATTCTGTTGTGCATAGGGTCACTATGAGTAGGTACAGACTCATGGCACCTAAAAATAACAACATAAAGGCACAAAGTGACTGCTTACAAGTTTTCAAGAGGGATTTTAGTTTCAGAGTGTACAAGGGAAGATAGAATCCCCAGTGAATAGTATTCATCTTGTCTAGATGTGTCTGGTGAAAGGAGATGGGGAAAAGATTCTTATGATTCAATAGTGAGTAATTATCACAACTGACTGTGATTGTCGCAACTGTAAAGGTAAACATTTTGTAATGAAAAGGGGGAGTAGTTAATCTTACATTCCAGGATCAGTGGCCCGGAGGCAGGCTTGCACAATGTGCCCTTTGGTTGTTTCAATGATTTTATATGCCTGAGTTTTTTGTGTATATCCAAAAAAAAAAAAAAAAATAGAGGGAATAGAAGAAAATACTGTTGCATGATGATGCATGGAGGGGGTTGTAATTGTAATGAAACAAAATGTGACAGGATGAGCATAAAACCTATGTTCTCCCATGTAAACTATTACTCAATTCACAATAAAAACTTAAGAAAGAAAGAAAAAAGAGAGACAACATGTGATCAAATGCCAATGATTCTGAAGGAAGAAGTCCAAGGTGCACAGAAAGCACTGGTTCTTTGGACTTGAGTGAGAGGCCCACTCTATAATATGTGCCAATCCTAGGAGTGAGCAGCAGTCTGTCTTCTTACCTGCCTGCCTGCCTGCCACCTAAATGGCTCATCTTAGTTCATGGGACTCAGACGTGAGACTCTCCCACCTGTACAACTGTGTGGGCCATTTCCTTGATATAAAGTTCTCTTTGTTGTTGTTGTTGTTAGGTGCCATCGAGTCGGTACCGACTCATAGCGACCTTATGCACAGCAGAATGAAATATTGCCTGATCCTGGGCCAACCTTACTATCATTGACACACTTGAGCCCATTGATGCTGCCACTCTGCCAGTCTATCTCACTGGGGATCTTCCTCTTTTTCTCTGAACCTCCACCTCAACAAACATGATATCCTTCTTCAGAGACTGGTCCTTACCGACAATATGTCCGAAGTATGAGAGACAAATTTTGGCCATCCTGGCCTCTAAGGAGCACTCTGGCTGCACTTCTTCCAACACAGATCTGTTGGTTCTTTAGGCAGCCCATGGCACTTCCAATATTCTCCTCCAACACCATAACTCAAAAGCATGAATTCTTCTTCGGTCTTCCTTATTCACTATCCAGCTCTCGCATGCATATGAGGTTATTGAAAATATACATAATATTTCACTGGTTTTGCTTCTCTAGAGAACTCAGTCTAAGACATACCAAGAGTGGTTCTAAAGAAACAAAATCATAGGCAAGAGTTTTCTAAAGTGATTTTCAAGTCTAATTTTAAAGGTATCAATAACTCTGTACCAACTGGTAAAGAGAGTAAGAAGGTGCTGCTAATCCATGGTGTGAGGTGGTAATAATATGCAAAATCTCACCACCAATAGAACATGGATTGAAGAGAAGCAAAGCTCTGAGTGTGTGTGTGATACTTTTCTGCAATTTTGTCAGAATGAGAAGTATAGAGAAGCTGGTTGGTTGATCCTACTTGCAATAGAGCAAATGATAAAGGAAAGAGATGAGCTGAGGGCTAAGCACTTAAGCACCACATAAAAGAACTCAAAGTTTCCATTTGTGCCTTGAAATAAAGCCTTATTTCTTGTAGTAGTAGAGCTGATACTACCAAAAAAAAAAAAAACAACCCCAGAGTTTTACTGTAAGAGTGGCTGAATTACAACTCCAGCTGTTATTTCCAACCTCAAATGGTGTCTGATGTGAAAGTGAAGGTACTGATTGGCAAGAAATGGGGATCCTGAACCTTGGGGTGGGGACATACAGACAGATCATCAGGAGCTGGGGACACTGAGACCATAAAGTCTGTTGATTCACTCTTGCCACCAGCTCCACCTCTCCTACCTTAAGAGATTACTCTTTATCTACTGATCCATTATCAGTAAAATCATTATTATCCCCTCTCCTCATACTCGATGAAATTAACCTTACTCTGCCTTGCTTACTGAGATGATTTCTGAGACATTGTCTGGGGTATCACCTAATGTTAATGTCTTGCAACGCATTGCAGAACATTTCCAGGAAACACCTCCACTAATTATTGCTTCTAGACCTACAACTAGACTTAAGTCCCAGCAAGCCCCAGAAGGTGAAGTACAAATTGTGACCCAGAAAGAAGTACACTACATTCCAAGAGAACTGCTTGATTTTTCTAATATGGACAGAAACCTGAAGAATATGTGTGTGTATGGATACTAAGGGTGTGTGGCAGTGGTGCAAGGAACATAAGGTTGAATCAATCTAAGTTTATTGATATGGGCTCACTAAGCACAGATTCTTCATTCAGTGTTTCAGCTATAAATGTCAAGAAAGGATCAAATAGTTTATTTGCCTGATTCACTGAAGGATGGATTGCATGGTGGCCTACAATACATCAAGTTGAAGTACTAGACCAACCTTGGTATTCTATAGAGGAAGGAATCCAAAGGCTTCAGGACACTGACATGTTAGAGTGTATTTTTCAGGATAGATCCTTTTTTTTGAATAAGCATTTGGGTTGTTTTTAGTTACAGAAAAGTAGCCTTTCCCAAGGGCGACAAGTGAACTGAAGGTTAGGAGGAAGCTGGGTGCGGGCCCTCACAGGCTCTTGCTCCAGCCTCTGGAAGTGATCCGAGGACATAGTGGATGGAGAAGACCCCTGGCCGGGAACTCCTTTGGTGGGGTAGGTGGAGCACCAGATCAGCCTTGGTCACTAGGTTGCTGAAAGTGGGCTCTTAGGTGATTTCCACTTGGGGTGAGTTGGCATGATTAACTATTCTTGGGGGGCATTAAATTAAGCAATAACACAGGGAGATGAGCCAAGAGAGTGGCTTATTCAGTTGGATTCTGAATCACAATCAGGAAATAGTCTTTATCTGGTGCAACCATAATTTCATTTTTCTTTGAGCGAATTCGAAGAAAGGTGAGGTCATTCTGGGGGTCAATTTCTCGCACGATGCTGCGTGCCTTCAAGATGAAGTTGTGCATGAGGTTGGTGTACTGTGTGGTAGTGTAGTTGTCCATGGTGCTCTTGATGGGAATGCCTTCCGTGTTCACCACGATGATCCCCTGCACGCCCTTCTGGCTCTGCAGCCACTTCAGGGTTTCTTCCACCTCTGCCATCTGGACAGATCGGATAGCTCCGCGTCGCTGGCCCAGGATAGATCCTTTAACCCACACATTGAATACATAGGGGACACACCATGCAACCTGAACTACCCATTATGAACTGGGTGTTGTTTGACCACAGAGTTATAACTTTTGACATACACAACAACACTCTATCATTAAAAAGAAGTGGTATTTATGAGACCAGGCTCAAGTAACATGTATGAGGAAGTTGTCCAAATGCCCATGGTCTCCACTCCTGTCACATTACTTTCCCTCTTGCACTGTATGCCTATGGCATTATGGGGAGTTACTTATGATCAACTAACTGAGAAGTGATAACTCAGGTTTGGTTTACAGATGGTTCTGCATGACATGCAGGCACTACTCGAAAGTGAACAACAGCTGCACTACAGCACCTTCCTGGGACTTCCCTGAAGGACAGTAGTGGAGGGAAATCCTCCCAAAGGGCAGAACTTGCGCAATGTTCATTTTGCTTAAGGGAGAAATGGCCAGATATGCGACTGTATACTGATTTATGGGTTGTAGCCAATGGTTTGGCTGGATGGTTAGGGTCTTTGAAGGAACATAATTGGAAAAACGGTGTCAAGGAGGTGTGGGGGAAGGCATTTGGACAGACTTCTCAGAATGGGCCTAAAAAGTGAAGGTATCTATATTTCATGTGAATGCTCACCAAAGGATTACCTCCACAGAGGATAATTTTAGCAATCAAGTGGATAGGATGGCAGGTTCTGTGGAAACTAATCATCCTCTTTTTCCAGTCACTCCTGTCATTGCTCAATCGACTCATGAACAAAGTGACCATGGTGGCAGAGATGGAGGTTATGCATGGGTTTAGCAACGTGCACTTCCACTCACCCAGGGTGACTTGGCTAGAGTCACTATTGAGTGTTCAATCTGCCAGCAGTAGAAACGAACACTGAGTCCAAGATATGGGATCATTCCTTGTGAAGCTACCTAGTGGCAGGTTGATTACATCAGACCACTTCCATTATGGAAAGGGCTATGTTTATTTCATACCGGAATAGATACTTAGTCTGGATAAGGATTTGCCTTCCCTGCATGCAAATCTTCTGCTGAAACTACCATCAGTGGACTTACAGATTGCTTTATCCACCATCATAGTATCCCACAGAGCATCACATTAGATCAAGGAACTCACTTCACAGCAAATGAAGTATGGCAATGGGTCAGGCTCATGGAATTTACCAGTCTTGCCATGTTTCTCCTATTTCATTAGGCAAATCTGCTGCACAAGACCTTTTTAAAGTGTTGAAGAGCAAAGATGTCAGTTTGAGGACTGAGGTACACTGGACCCAAGCCATGGTATTTTCAATAACCTCATAGCATGCAAAAGTTGGACAGTGAACAAGGAAGATCATAGAAGAATTGATACATTTGAGTTATGGTGTTAGAGGAGAATAGTTAAAGTACCATGGGCTGCCAAAAGAACAAACAGATCTGTGTTGGAAGAAATACAGCCAGAGTGCTCCTTGGAGGCCAGGATGACCAGACTTTGTCTCTCATACTTCAGACATATTATCAGGAGGGGCCAGTCACTGGACAGATATATCATGTTTGGTAAGGAGTGTCAGAGAAGAAAAGGAAGAAGGATTGGCAAAGTGACAATCAATCAATGGCCTCAAGAGTGGCAACAATTGTGAGGTTGGCCCAGTGTTTCGTTCTGTTGTGCATAGGGTCACTATGAGTCAGTACCGACTCGATGGAACCTAACAACAACAACATGTTTCTCATCATCCTGAAGCAGCTGGCTTTACCAAAGGATGGAATGGTCTTTTAAAGACTCACTTATGGCTCCAGCTAGATGGCAATACCTGCTGGGGCAAAGTTCTCCAGGATGTTATATACACTGTAAAGCAGGATCTGATATATGGAGCTTCTGTTCCAATAACCAAAATTCATGGGTCCAGGAACAAATGGAATGGAAGTGGACACCACTCATTATTATTCCAAGTGACCCACTCAGAAAGTTTTTGCTTCCTGCCTCTGTGACCCTCTGCTCTTTGGGTCTGGACATTTTAGTTTGAAAGGGAAGGATACTTTCACCTGGAGACACAACACTGATTCCATCAGAGGGAAGTTTAAGAATGCCCTTGGTCACTTTAGTCTCCTCAGGCCTCTGGATCAACAGGCAAAGAAGACAGTTACTGTATTAGGTGGTGTGACTGGATCCTTACTACCAAGAATAACTTGGTTTGACATTGCATAATGGAGGTAAAGAAAACTATGTGCGGAATCCAGGAAATTCCTTAGGACATCTTTTAGTTCTACCATGCCCTGTGATTAAAGTCAGTGGTAAACTACAGCAACCCAATTTCAACATGGATACTAATGGCCCAGACCCTTCATAAATGAAGGTTTGGGTCACCCCACCAAGCAAAGAACCATAACCGGTGGAGGTGCTTAACAAAGGCAAAGGGATTGAGTAACAGAAGAAGGCAGTTCTAAATACCAGCTTCAGGCATGTGACAAGTTGCAAAAATAAGGACTATAATTGTTATTGGTATTTTGTTCTTGTATGTGTGCATCAAATATTTTTATATTGTTAACTTATAAAATACAAGATGTAAATGGGGTTAGTGCATTTTTGTTGTACATGTGTTCATTGTATCATGTCAGGTTGTTGTTGTTAAGTGCTGTCGAGTTGGTTCCGACCCATAGCGACCCTGAACAGGGTTTCCGAGGCTGTAAATCTTTATGGGAGCAGAAAGCCTCATCTTTCTCCCATGGAGCAGCTGGTAGTTTCGAACTGCTGATCCTGAAGTTCACAGTCTGATTTGTAACCACTATGCTACCAGAGCTCCTTATCATGTTAGGTATGACTTTATAATTATAGTCTTTATTTAGAGATTATATATGGTTTAAGGATATGTATACAAGTCTAAGATGACAAAGGGTAGAATGACACAAGGTTTTGTGTCAACTTGACTGGGCCAGCATTCTCAGTGGTTTAGCAGCTGAAATGTAGTTATTCCCCATAATGATATCTAATAAAGGTAATCAACTCTATATTGAGGTTTGCTTGTTGTTAAGTGGCATTAAGTCAGTTCTGTATGCACAACAGAATTAAACACTATGCAGTCCTTTGCCATCCTCACAGTACTTGTTAAGTTTGAGCCATTGCTCCTACCACTGTGTCAATGCATCTCATTAGGGGCCTTACTCTTTTTCACCAACCCAATGAGTCTGATATGAGCAGTCAATCAATTAAAGGGAAGCTTCCTCCAGATATGGCCTGCTTCAATATATTGGCATTCAGGAAAGGCTTATCTGCTCTCTGCTGGATCTGAATCTTGAATCTGGGTCATCCTCTGAACTCTGATTCTTTGGACTTCAGTAAGTGGCCTACTCTATTACTTGCCAATCCTGGGAGTCATCAGTAGCCAATCTTCTAACCTGCTGGACCTACCTGCCTGTCATCTGACCTGTCGATCTTGGCTAATCCACCCTGTGGCTTCATGAATCAGCCTTCAGCCTAACATCTAACTCACTGTCTTTGAACTAAGCATATTTATAACAGTGTGAACCATTTCCTTGATATAAACCTTTCCTTCTACATACATATAGAAGCTTCACTAGTTTTGCTTCTCTAGAGAACCTCGCATAAGACACCATGCTATTTTCATTATTCTTCTCCAACACCGTAATACTACCATCTTTCGTATTCATTGTCCAATTTCACATGCGTAAGAGGTCACTGAATATATTATGAATTGTGTCAGGAGAACTTAGTCCGCAAACTGACAGCTTTGCTCTTTAACAATTTAAAGAGGTCTTTTGCAGCAGGTTTGCCTAATACAATACATCATTTGATTTCTTAACTGCTGCTAACATGAGTGTTCATTGTAGATCCAAGAAAAATGAAGTCTTTAACAACTTCATTTTTTCCCCATTTATCATGATGTTATTTATTGGTCCTATATTGAGGGATATGTGTGTGTGTGTGTGTGTGTGTATGTGTGTGTGTGTGTGTTGAGGTGCAATCCATACTGAAAGTTATAGTCTTTGATCTTAATCAGTAAATATTTTAAGTCTTCTTCTCTTCCAGCCAGTTATAGCATCTGTATATCGCAGGTTGTTAACGAGTCTTCCTCCAATACTGATGCCACTTTATTCTTCATATAATCCAGTTACTCATTATTTACTCATCATACTAGGAGTTCTGGTGTGGTCCTGTAGGATAAGCACTAGACCACACAGTCGGTTTGAGCCACAAGATCGGCAGTTCAAACTCACCAGACACTCCTCGGATCCTATATAGTGTTGCAGTGAGTCAGAACCAACTTGACGGCACTTAACAAGAACAGATTGAATAAGTATGGTGAAAGGATACAACACACTTTTCCTGATTTTAAACCATTCACTATCTCCTTGTTTTGTTCAAACAACTGCCTCTTGTTCTATATACAAGTTCCTCACGATTGATGCAAAAAAGGCATTTGACAAAATCCAACATCCACTCCTGATAAAAACACTCAACAAAGTAGGAAT